GCAAGTGACTTACAATTAAAAAGACTACAAGTCCGCCAAAATCGAATTTTGCAGATGATGTGCCGTACTATATTAGGAACTCTATAATTCACCTTGGTGTAAATATACCATATGTCACCGAAGTTGTGAAAGAAGCTTATGTAAAAATGTCTAAAACATATAACTGAACACTCGAATTCAGTCTTAACTAAATGTTCAGTCTTTGCCGCCGACGTGTGAACTTAGAAGGCTGAAAAGGAGACATGCTGACCTTGCTGTATAAATAAGTAAATCCAAGCAGAGGACAGCTACTGGGTCCTTTTCACAAGTTTCATGTCAATTAGTGTTAAATGTTATGTATATATTTTTCATTATTTATCTCTATGTAACTAATGTCCAATAAAGTTATCCACATTAAAAAATAATAAAAGTGCTAGAAGATGTGGCAAATTCAAGAATAAAGACCTCAGCTGGTGTCCAATTAAAATTGAGTAATATTAATAAAGCTTATAACTAATACTACCAAGAACAAATATTGTTTAGATGTGGTTTGAGATGAATCAACATTGTATAGTAAATTAATTAAGGTTTTTAGTTGAGATGAAAAAAGTTAATGGCACGAGAGGGATTCGAACCCACGACCTTCGGCTAGATACGCCGCTGCTCTACCACCTGAGCTATCGTGACCTCGATCCACTCGGACATCAACTCCCCATCTCAACCCCACCTTATGAGTTTGCCATTTTTCAAATGTCGTGTAATCAGTTAGGATTCACGACGACAATTGAAATGGCGACGGAGAACTTTAGTGAAGTGTATTTCATTTTTAAATCATTGATTCACTACTTTCGTGGTCCGCTTGACCAATTAATACATGACAATTAATTAAGGTTTTTAATTGAGATGAAAACAAGTTAATGGCACGAGAGGGATTCGAATACGATCACAATAGCTCTGGTGGTAGAGCAGCGGCGGATCTAGACAAAGGTCGTGGGTTCGAATCCCTCTCGTGCCATTAATTTTTTCTCATCAACTAAAAACCTTAATTAATTGTCATGTATTAATTGATCAAGCGGACCACGAAAGTAGTGAATTATTTTATAGTAAGAAAGTAATTTCAAATATGATAAATAATTTTCATTTTGAGCTATCATTATAATACCTATGAAAAAGGATATTTATCAACTGATAACAAAGACGATGCTGAAGAGTAGAGAGCAATTTAAGGTGCTTCGAATTTTTTTTTTTTTTTCTAAGTTTTATTAGGTAGCGACTACCTCATTGGATGTCGAGACTGCATCATATGTTATAAAGTTTAAACTTGCTAAATTTTTATGAAAGTTTTTGTATAAAAACATAAGTATTCAAAAATTTATATGAATCACTAATACGAATATTATAACTGAAAATACATTATTTTTTAGCCATATTTCAGTCAGAATTTGTATTATATGATACCACTGCTTAAGGGAAAATACATTTTCAGTATTCAAGTGTTCTTTTGTGACCTGTCAAGGATATAAGTATGTTGAGGCATAACCTGTGTATATAGAGCTGTTGACCATTAAATGTCAATAGCCATGATACATAAAAGAAGCTCAAAATGCAAAAACAGGCTGCAAACTTTGGTAAATTAAAATGTGGTAACAATTGTCCAGAAAATTATCAATTTTATAGCGAAATTATCTTGGATTACTGAAAAATTCATGACAAAATTGATTCTTCTCTTCTTCCTTCATGGTTGTTCGCTTATTTTAAGATATTTTAAGGTGTTTTTCAGGAGCATAAAACCATTTCAACATCATTTTATTAAAGCAATATCGATTTCGGGGGCACCAGCCTTCTTCATTCTGGTTTCAATTTTAGAAACGCATAACAAAAAATTTTATTATGTTGCTTTTGGGCATCCATCAATCCAAAAGTAGTGGCATGCAAATTATTTAATAATTAAACAACGACCACAAAACAGTGAACTGATAACAATTGCCAGAATTCAACATGTCCAAAACACTGCTGACTGATAAGAATTACGAATCTCTAAATTTTATCTCTGCAAAACTGATTAAAAGCACGTGCAGCATATATAGAGTACATTTGATAACTTCGGACCTCCAACTAATGCAACTAATAAAATTCCACTACTTACTCCTTGTTTTTAATCTGTTTTTACTTCTAATAAAGAATGTGGCAAATCACAAGTTTTCTTCACAAAATCTCATGGAACTTCATTAGGAATAATATATGCTGCGGAACACGGTCAGTGTATGCAATTGTAAAGATAATTGGTTGTAATAAGGTTGTGTACAAGGACTTAAAAAATTTCAAATGATACATTTTTATATTAGTAAAAACACAGAAAATAACTTATTACATTTACTGTTTTACTTTTATTATTATTTTCAAGTTGTATTTAATTTTGTGTTTCAGGAGAGCAATGGATTCACAAAAACAAGAAAGCAAACATGCCATTGATTTGTTCTTGAAATTGTCTAGTTTTTTGAGGTTCAGTTTACAAGAAATTTTGCCAAATAGTACAGATAAATATGGGATAGAAATCCCTCGGATTGTCTTCGACGAAATTGAAAACTTAGTCTCTTCGGTTACAGATTTCATAAATGCATTTAAAAAATGCGATGCTACTGAGCCTAAAGTAGATAAAATTAACAAGCCTGCATTGTGGATAGATCAGGACAACATTAAGGAGCCTGAGAGTTGGACAAATGAGAAAAACAAGCAGACTGATTATGGTATGGAACTGGACCAAACAGTGGTGTCTGAGATGTGGATTGACATGTTTAAAGAGATGCAAAATAGTATCAACAAGAATACCGGTAAACTTGGAAAAAAAGGATTTTACTGCGGCCTCTGCAATTATTATTCACTCAGCAAGGAAGAATGGAAAAAGCATTTTGTTGATAGAAACCACATCAGAATCTATGATCTAGCTTTAGAGGAAGCAAAATGCGCCATTAAAACCTCACAATGTCATTTTTGCGGTGTGGAACTTTTCAGCGAGGTGCCCCATTTAGATGCTATATTCAAGTCTTCTATTCATCAACGTATTCACGGTGTGATCATGACTTCCAAAGATTCCACTAACTCTTCTAATAACACTAATAGAAATATTGACATCCATTCCTTTGGACTGAATTTAAAGGCTGAGATTTATTCTGTACCAAATAACTCAAATTTGACAAATAATGAAATAGTTGATAAAGCTACTTCTTACTCCCAACGTTCCATTATAGAAAAAGGTACATCTCAGAATAAAGAAAAAAAATTGATCAAAAACAGTAAGTCGAAAAATAGTGCTGGTAGTTGTATATCACAATCGAAAGAGTCAGAAAATCGAGTTGAAATAAAAAAAGAATTTGACTTTAAAGAAAAAGAGTTCAAAAACAAACAGCAAACCGGCAATTTAAAAAAAACGAAAACTCCAAACAATGTTAACTTTAACCAGGAAAAGTCACAACAACTAGCATTGCAATTTCAGAATCTCAATAGAACACTCAGTTCACAAAAGGACAGTGAAGGGTATTATTGTAAACCTTGTGGGATGGCGTTCGAAAAGAAACCTGACTGGGATAACCACTGCCAAAATATCGTTCACAAGACTGCTAATATTCTCCACCAGTGCCAATTTTGCAAATTCTCTCTCTTGTCATTCAAGAAAGATGCTGGAGATTATATGGAATATCACATGAAAATATGCCATCCGGAACATTCGACAGGGAGTAACAAATCGAAAAAAAGCAAACAAACAAAAAACGCCCAACAGTCTGAGGAGAAGTGTTTGGAGTTCTCTCATTCCCCTGCCCATTACTCTTCGACCACGAGCCTTAATGGCCCAAGCACTCATAATTCCTCATTTCCCCGTCAGGAAATAACCGAAAACCCCCGTGAGCAAATAAATCCAAAATTCTTCGATTTATTAAAAGTGAAACAATATTCGAGTAATATTCGGAATTTCAAAGGGCTGTGTTTAAAATGTGATATTGATTTCTCATGTCAATTTGAATGGGTAAGCCACTTCCACTCGCACCCAATTAACACAGACGAAGAAGTCATAGAGTGTCAGAAATGTAATTTAGGGGTTTTCGGAAATAGGGAAATAATAAAAACACTTTATATGCAGCATCCAGACCATATCTCCCTTGATCGTCAATCTACATAAATAAAAATCATAAGAAAAATTATGTAGAGTTTTGTTTAATTATTTAAAACTAAAAAGAAAGTTTCTTGATTCTTGTTTTTTTTATTGTTGCATTTTTTTCAGATTTGTTTGGGTTTAAATAAACTTACGCTTTTCCAACTGTGCTTTACGATTTTATTATTATTATTATTATTATTATTTGTTCAATCAAATGGTTATATAAAATTATTTATTAAAATTAAAAAAAAAGCTTTCTTGTTTTGATAGAGAGATGTGAGTGTAAATAAGTCGATTGTTTCTGATCTTATAAATTATCTCTTTTACATTAATTAGATTAACTTTAAAACAATTGATCTTGTTTTAATAATTAATAACTCAAATAATAATGTACAAATTAGAACCAAAATTCCTTTATTTTGTTATTGTTATAGTGACAATTTTGTAATACAGTCAAAATAAACTTTTGTATTTTCAAGTTGGAAAACAAGCTGCTTGTTTATATAAAATAAACAGTTTCATATGGAAAATGTGATGGTTTTGTGTGATCCTCCAGTTTTTTGTTCAGCGGTTCGATCATCCCTTGTTTATTATTTACCTCCAAAAGTATCCTAAGTGTCAATAGTATTGCCATCATGAACAAACTCGCAATGGTGAATGAGCAATTTTTGCAAATATAAAACAAGACATTTTTACAATCTAGTTCTTGATATTATTTTTATTTGTAATAAATAATTAATTGTAAATAAACAGAATTATAATATTCTCTTTTTTTTCATTATTTTTAATTATTTTCATATATAAAATTATAATAAACCTCTAACAAGTGTTTTATTATTGTTTTCAAGTTGAACTTAATTTTGTGTTGCAGGGAAACTATGGACATGGAAAAGAAAGAAAACAATCATGCAATTGATTTATTCACAAAGTTATCTAGTTTTTTGAGATTCAATTTACAAGAAATGTTGCCATATTGCATAGATAAATACAAAATGGAAATTCCCTTATATGTCATTGAGGAGGCTGAAAATTTGCTCTTTTCGGTTACAGATTTCATAAAAATGTTTAAAATGAAAAAAAGCACAATTGACAAATGCCAGTTGGAAAAGGAGACAATTCAAGAACCAGAATGGTGTGATAAAGAGGACGAAATAACTCAGTCGGAGTTGTGGATTGACATGTTTAACAAGATGAAAGATAGTATTGACAAGAATAAACTCAATATAAAAGGATTTTACTGCGGCATTTGCAATTATTACTCACAGAGCAAGGAGGATTGGGAAAGCCATATACTTTTTGATACAGACCACAACAGATACTACAAGTTGGCTTTGGTTGATGGTCAAAGCGTCATCAAGGTATCCGAATGTAATTTTTGCGGAGTTGTACTCTTCAGCGAGCAGCCTCATTTGGATGCCATCTTAAGATCTGCACTTCACCAAAGTGTTCACATTGCGCTCTTGACTTGTCAGAATATCCCTGCTGATACTACTAAAACCGATGTTACCACTCAGTTAGAACCGGACATAAAATCAAAAATATCATCTGTTTCGCTTAAATTACAAACTCTAAAAGTGCATATAGAAAAGTTAGGTAAAAAAGATTCAAATGATTTAAACCAAACGTTCAAAGAAACTAGTATAAATAAATCAAGTGAAAATAAACCTGAAACAAAAGAACTTAATATTTCTGGCACCATTTTAAAGAATAAATCTAAGAAGAAGAAAAAGAAAGATTCTCTCCTTAAATCAGAGATTCAACACGGTCTGCCTGAAAACAATGAAAGTGAAAATCGAGAAAAATATCAGGAACAAGTAAATGATTTCTCACATTCTGCTGAATATGAAAATCAACCTGAAACAAAAGAACTCAATACTTCTGGCACCATTTTAAAGAATAAATCTAAGAAAAAGAAAAATTCTCTCCTTAAATCACAGATCCAAACTGGCCTGCCTGAAATCAATGAAAGTGAAAATCAAGAAGAATATCAGGAACAAGTAAGTGATCTCTTACATTCTGCCGAATATGAAAATCAACCTGAAACAAAAGAACTCAATACCTCTGGCACCATTTTAAAGAATAAATCTAAGAAGAAGAAAAAGAAAAATTCTCTCCTTACATCGCAGATTCAAACTGGCCTGCCTGAAATCAATGAAAGTGAAAATCAAGAAGAATATCAGGAACAAGTAAGTAATCTCTCACATTCTGCTGAATATGAAAATCAACATGGCCTGCCTGAAAACAATGAAAGTGAAAATCAAGAGGAATATCTTCAACAATTGAATGATCTCTCACATTCTGCTGAATCTGAAACAAAAGAATTAATTATTTTATAGTACTACTAAGACACTATACGTAAGAATAAATAGACAGATACTTTCCTGAACATGCAAATTTGAAACTTTGCAAAATGACCTACTTGAAAACAATAAAAGTGGAAGTAAAGATAAATATGAGATGAAGGATCAAGAAAACAATAGCAATAATATTTTTTATTTTTTTAAAGTAAAATTTTCAATTTCTAATACTAACTGCTATTTTACAATGTTAAACAACTATTGGAATATGTTATTAAATAACAGACATTAGTATAGTATTAAACAAGACCATTGTTATCATAAATATGTTTTTTTTTTAATATACAGAACTTCTTTTTTAATTTATACATTGTGGTATTATGTATTATTTAGGTATAAGTTACTACTAACAGAATTGTTCAGTTTTTCATTGTTTACAACCACTTTGAAATTAATGTTAATTACACAATTATTTATATTCGTATTACTACTTATTGTAGTCGTTTTTCACAAAAACTACAATTAAAGGATTTTCAAACTTTTTTCATTATCTATGGATTTTTAATTGCTTTCTGAGGTTTAATTGTATTTGGTGGAAAGGAAATTTAAACTTTGAAGTGTTAAGATGTTTAGTAAAGGGTTCCATTTTTTAAAATGTATCATTTCAAACTTTCCAATATAAGGTTAAAAACCAATTGTATATGAAAAAATATACCAAGGTGAGTTAAGTTTAAACAATTGGGCCAAGAACACTTCCTTGTTAAACACCATTTTGCACAGTTGCTGTCATGCCTTAGATTCTTGTGATCTGTTGTCTACTTTTAGCACGGTGTTCTTTATTCGTATTTTATTCATTTTGAGAATTGTGATTGTTATTTTTTTCAATTAATTTTTAATCCAAAAAGACAAAATTTGCCCCTCAACAAGAGCAATTTTATTGTTTAAATTAGTGCTTCTACATTGTCAAAATCCATGTTGATACAAGAATGAATGTGACTACTATGTAAAGCATATAAACTGAATTTGAAAACAAACCAATTAAAAAGTAAAAGCAAAATAAGAAAAATATGCATTACAATTAGAAGTACAATTCTACAATAAAAACATGTATGTATGTACAACAATGTATAAAAAAAAGTTATAATTATTTAATCACAATAACTAAAGAACACAAATATAACTAACTATTGTTGAATATAGAATTGACCACAACTCATTGTTAGGTAGTAAATTGGGTGCTGGACAACTGAATTCAGTCAATTTAATTGCACAATTAAAGAAAAAATATATTTATTATTATTTCGAGATCGGTCCGGTGTTTCGTAGGCTTAGAAAAACATTTTCTTTGTCGTGCCAACGTTTCAATCTTTGTTGAGATCGTCTTCAGAGCTCAAAGTGTTTGTTTTCTGTGTAGATGTGTCATTATTGAGTGTCGTGTTGGGAGGGCACTCTCAACACAATAATGGCACATCTACACAGAAAACAAACACTTTGAGCCCTGAAGATGATCTCAATAAAGATCGAAACATTGGCACGATAAAAAAAAGTTTTTCAAAACCTGCATCACACCAGATGCATCTCATGATCTCCAAATAATCATTAATTAACAGTCACTAAACACCACACAAATATATTTATTTATTTAGAAATCGTGAGATGCAGTCTGGGTGATGTAGGTTTCAGAAAAACATTTTCTTTATCGTGCCAATGTTTCGATCTTTATTGAGATCATCTTCAGGGCCTGGGATTTACAAACATTGTTTACATATAACAATTACATTTTGGATGTGGAAAAGTGAATTTATACAATGCAAAATAAATATCGATTAACGGTCACTAATCACCACACAAATATATTTATTGTTGAATTTATCGCCCACAAATCATTGTTAGGTAGGAAATCTCTAAAAATTATTAATTATATTATTGTCAATTAATTAAGGTTTTTAGTTGAGATAAAAAAGTCAATGGCACGAGCGGGATTCGAACCCACGATCTTCGGCTAGATACACCGCTCCTCTACCACTTGACCTCGATCCACTCGGACACCAACTTCCCATCTCAACCCCACCTTTTGAATTTTGAAATGGGAAGTTGGTGACCGAGTGGATCGAGGTCATGATAGCTCAAGTGGTAGAGCAGCTGCGTATCTAGCCAAAGATCGTGGGTTCGAATCCCGCTCGTGCCATTGACTTTTTTATCTCAACTAAAAACCTTAATTAATTGTAATATATTAATTGGTCAAGCGGACCACGAAATTAGGGAATTATTGTCAGTGATTAATATTTCAATGTTTTTCATGTCTTAAATTTTGTCTTTCGTGTAATTATTTAAATAAAGTGGGCTGGCTATTACCTGCAAATAAGTAAATTTGTGATCTTTCCCGTTAAATATGTACAAATATTGTATATTGGAGCTTCCGAGTGGTGTAACAAAATCGTGGAGGGGGCGCAAGTTTTTAAAGAACTTTCAACATTTTTCCATAGAGATATTTTTATAATTAAAAATGAATCGTATTGTTGTAATTGGTTCATAGCTGGGGGTGGGGAGAAAAAAACCGACCGGAGCGTCAAATTTTCTCTCAAAGAGGGAAAACATATGTTCAATAATATTTTCTCTTTCGTATTCACTCGATCATCCTTTAAAAAGAAAATATAATAATTATGTATTTGAAAATGGGCAGTTTTTCCTAAATGGAAGGACCGGATTTTCCAATAAGGGGCCGATTCGGCGAAGGTGTCCAGCTCCGTTGGCACGCCTGCCGGCCCAATATGAGAATTTATTTTGCTGAAAGCTTCGTCTTCGCCGAGGTTAGGAAGTAGACCTTTTTGTTTTTCTCCCTCGGGTATCCACCTAGCACCAAAAAATTGCAACTAGAAAAACAGGCAAAATTGATCGAGATTCCGTTTGAAATTCGCCGGAGTGGACAAATCCCTAGTGTCAAAAGAAAGTAACAAAATTCCACACAGTATCAATAATCACATTTTTAATACCTAATTATGTCTACACCTGCCAGACGGCGATTAATGAGAGATTTTAAACGGTGAGTCGATTATTTTCAATACAGTTCACTTTCAGCTTGAAGGGGACAGTCGTGTCCTTTTTCCACGGTTTCATTGATGGGAGAGGCGTTTTGTACATTTTTCCCCCCAGCACCGTTGTGCAATCCTCCGAGGTAGAAATCCCAAAACAACGCCACGTACAAAAATCCCTTTTCTCTTCTTCCATTCCGGCTTTCCTCGACGATAAACCGGAAAAACCTTTTCTTCATTTTCCGTTTAGACTATTATCAAGAACGGCATGCAATTTGTTCCCGATCCGCAGTGACACAGCGGGAGTAAAAATAGTTGTTTTCGTAACGTTTGTCTCGACCCGAAGGTCGAAGTCCCTTTTATCGATTTCAAGGTTCTCTTTCCTTTTGGCTATTAAAAGAAAATGGGGTGGAAAAGGGATTTTGACAATAACTCCATGTCGATCACCACTGTATCGGTTCTCCGGACAGTGCAAGTACCGCAACCGATTGATAACCTTGAACACTCACCATACTGCCCTGGTCACATTTATAACTGATACATTCATTTTCATTCATCAAAATTTGCAAAAGTCAACAACAACACCTCGTAACAATATTCTATGCCAAATTGGCCCTGCTATAAAAAATATATCTATTATAAAATTTCTTTTATTAAAATGTACTTTTGCTTTTTGTACTGTCGTCATTGTTGTTTAAATGTCTTTACAGGTTTTGCATCCATACATCCACGTATTCAATCATGTATTATTTCCTTCTTGTTGATTGAATAATTGGTACAACAGCTAATGTATAATAACTATATTAGCTTCATTTATGCATATCAAACCTTGGCCCTTTGTATCACTTGGCACTGACAAAAAAATTTAAAATCATTCTTGTATTCCATGTGTAGTATTTAATGCTTTTGCTTTTTGCAGTTTTATGCTGGTGTTCAATTGTTCAATGAAAAAAATTATCGCATTTTGTGGTGATTAGTAACTGTTAATCGATAAGTATTTAGAAATCGTGAGATGCGGTCTGGTGTGATGTAGGTTTCAGAAAAACATTTTCTTTATTGTGCCAACGTTTCGATCTTTATTGAGCCCTGAAGATGATCTCAATAAAGATCGAAACGTTGGCACGATAAAGAAAATGTTTTTCTGAAACCTACATCACACCAGACCTCATCTCACGATTTCTAAATAATTATGGCATTTATTTAAATTTCTTTACAGGTTTTACATCCATGTGTGCATCCAAATATTCAATGTTTTAATCTTTTTGATTTGGTGTAACATCCTTCTATGTATTTAATAATTATCTTTGTTGATACATAATATAGAGCCTGACAGTTTGGCTGTTGTAAGTAATGTTGTTAGCACTGACGTAAAAAAAAAATCAGTCATGTATTGTTTCTAGTTATCTAATCATTTTTGGCACTTTAAAATAATAATAATAATAATATGGCACTCTTTAAATTATTTAACAGATTTTACAACCATGTTTTATCATTATGATAATAATATTGAACTTTTTTCATTTTTCAATATTAGCCAGAGAATATGATGAATTGTATGAATTGAATTTTTGGGGACTTCTGGTGTTTTTAACCTGTACCTTTGCCATTAGGGCAAGGTTTTTTTCTTATTGGTCGCAACGTACAAGGGGATGCCAGGGGCAACGGCGCGGGTATTGAACCCATGACCACAGGGTCTATGAGCTCAGAGTCTGATACACTGACCACTCGGCTACTTCGTTCCCCATGAACTTTCATTAAGGAAAATGTATTATTTATTATCTTTATTTGGTGTTAAACATTAACATCAACGTTTTCATTTAAAAATTGTGGGTTTTTTCTGTGTATTCTTTACATATTATCTTCACAGATCTTTTAATACTTAAATCCTTTATGCCAATACATCCCAACACCATCCTTACAATCTATGCAGACGATACAGCAATTTTATCCCTTTTATAATCAATCTAAGGCCCGGTTCTCACGGAGGCAGTCTGATAGACCGGTATCAAGAAGATGGAGGAAACATAGGGGCAAACCCTCTCATTCAGACAGAGGGACTGAAAGTTGACCGGTACGAGATTCCAATTTTTAGTCACTTGGGATACTTTTTCTGTATGAAGGCACCTGACGGGACATTGTGCAGAATGTCATTCCCACAATTCAGTCGCTATCAAGCAGATCACTCTGTCTGTATCTTGTTTTCATACTCCTCTTTTTTATACTTATAAAAAATGGACAGAAGTGAAATAACAAACTAATTTTATTAGTTCAAATATATCCCATGCTTTAGGGCAAAGTGACTATTAGTATGCAGATAAAGTTAAAAAAAAGAAAATGTGTTGCAATTGCTATACGACCTTCTAACTCGTCCATTATAAAACTATGACAGAGTAAAACATCTGGGCCTTTAAAACATTTAGGAGAGGATCGAGAAGAGATGGAGGGGAGATGACAATCTAATTGCTAGGAGAGTCATCTAGATACTCTTGTATCGCATATGCACCTCACTCATGGGCCTACGCCACCTCCAATATACAGGAGCTCAGTATAGAATAGTCCAAACTCAGGAAGATAAACGAGGACAATATTATTTCAATTAATTAATCTTTATATAAGGTATTGGTTGAAATGAAAAAATAAGTGTCACGAGCGAGATTCGAACCCACAGTCTAAGCCAAAGGGAGTTCAGATCCCGCTGGTGACACTTACTTTTTCATCTCAACCAATACCTTACATAAAGATTAATTAATTGAAAGAAGTTACTTGATCAATCAGACCATGAAATATAATGATTTTAATAACCAAATTATGTTAACTTTGAACAAACAACTTTGCTCACATGTACATTAACAACAAGGAACACTAACATCACAGGTAAAATACTTAGTGCTACACTAAGACACTGATGTGGAACTCTCTCATAAGACATAAACATCAAGAACTAAATAGACGATTTGGACAACTTATGCAGACTTGTAGGACCAAAAGCAGGTGACTAAAGAACAAATTAACACTGTACAAAACTTTACCTCAAACTATCTGGACAAGGAATCCCACTCTTGACGCTGAATTTTTTATCCCAACCAAAACCTTAATTAAAGATTAATTAATTGAAAAGAATTTATTTGGTCAATAGGACCACGAAACCTAATAGTTGTAATAAGCAAAATGAAGTATAATTTTGAAGTCATCAGTAATATGATAACATAAACAAAAAAAAGTATACTTCACTAAAGCTCTCCGTGACCATTTCATTTGTTGCCAAGAATCAAATATATTACAAAAAAAAAAAAAAAAAAAAAAAAAAAATTCGAAAGGTGTGGTTGAGATGGGAAGTTGGTGTCGGAGTGGATCGAAGTCACGATAGCTCAAGTGGTAGAGCACAGCGGTGTATTTAGCCGAAGGTCGTGGGTTCGAATCCTGCTCATGACACTGACTTTTTTATCTCAACCAAAACCTTAATTAAAAATTAATTAATCGAAATTCATTATAATTTAAAAATTGTTCAAAAAGATATGTTTTATAATCAGAAATATATCACTAATTGAAGTTTTGTTAATAATTTTATATATATAATTCTATGTTACATATATAAATTCTAATGCAAGATTTAAATATGTAAAAGCAAATTGAAAAGCCCAGAAAACATTTTTTCCATATTTTTTTGCACCTTTCAGGTTGAACCTTCTTCCCAATTGACGTTTTTCCCTGAAAGTTAGCAGGGATACTTCACACAGTTTTGATTGAATTATATAAAACATTTATTACGCAAATTCAATAATAAGAGTTGTGATTGAGTATGTTGAAAACATTTTATGTTGTATCGATAATCTTTAATTGGATGTGTAAAGTCCGAACAAAAGAAAGGGAAACCTGTTGGCAAAGTCATTTTAGTGGTCTTTTGTATTGGGTGTTTTTATTTACAAAAAAAGTGAAATTTCATTCGTACATGTCCGATCAAATCAGCAATGGATTCTTGGATGGAGTCTTTGCTGGTTTGTTCATCAGTGTAGTAGATTAATTCATTTTTTATGTACACTAATTTATGAAGGTGTATGTCAACATTGTCAAATACACTCAACTGCATTGAACATAACAATTATTCCCAATATATGTGTACACATTGTTTATTATTTATTATATTATTTTTATGGAATTAATAATTATTTTATGGAAGTTTTTCAGTTTCTGGCTCTGTTTTAGTTTTGTAATTTTCTTCTATTAAGTAAAAATACTACCTTTGAACCAAGTCGATAAGTGGATGTCATTAAAAAATAAATAAATAAAAAGTATTAATAAAAATAAAATAAGTATTAATAAAAGAATGAATGCATGAGAAAAATGAATTTTTCAATCGTCATCATTTGCTGAAGTCATTAAAAATAAAATTTATTTGAACAAATACATTCAAAATAAACTCCAATAAATACTAATTGAAAAAAACAAAAAAAAACAGGGTTGTTTGTATTTACTGATATGAATGAAAATCAGCAAAATTATAAAGTAAAATGAAATCTTCATGGTCCCTGTGTCATATGAAATTGAACTGCACTTCTACATAAACAGAACCCCTTATTTGGACGGATGCTGGATGACTCATGTTTGTTGAATAATCTTTGGCCAGGGGGTAGGGGCTGATACAACTTAGAATATATGTTTTTCAATACTTTTAAATATTCTTAGCCTTATATAATTCATTAATTTTTTAACAATAAATATTTTAATTAATTAAAGAAACAATTATCATCTCTGACATTAGTATTACGCTACCATTGAACAATACATATTTAATTAATTAGATAATATCAAAATTTCTAATAAATGTGTTGTCAAGTCTGAGATCATAAACTTGTAATTTTTATTTTGTCTCTGATCATCATTGGTCTGTGTATTTGACATAATAGTAATCTAGAAATATATTTATGTTTGCATTTTGCATGTGTTTATGTAAATTATTTAATACACATTTGAATTAGATGTTACATCAGAATTGCCCAAATATAATAATATAAATTCTAGTTACTTTATTTGAAAATTTCCCATCCATTTTTGAACAACTGACGTAAATAAATTTACTGAAATTACCTTGTAATTGGCAAGAAATGAAATAAAGGCTGTAAAACTAAAACTATTTCCTATTACATAAATAATACCACAGTATAATTTTGTAATAATAATAAAAAGAATAATCTTATTTATTGATGAAATATAAGTAATTGTAAATATTAATATGCTATGTGTAGGATTTTAGTTTGAGACTGAAGTTCAAGAATGCATTAAATTGAACTTTATTTGAGCCTGGTTGTTTTTGTTCAAACTAAAACCCGAAACACAGCCAATATAAATATAGATAAAAAAGATTTGAAGATTTATTGTAAATTTTGTGTACAGTTGATTTATTTTGTTTTGATAATATGTATAATTAACCTCTATTCATTTTTACTTTTTTCCATTTTTACAGATTGCAAGAAGATCCTCCTACTGGAGTCAGTGGAGCTCCCACAGATAACAACATTATGATATGGAATGCTGTTATTTTTGGGTGAGTAGTTCATTCGCCAGTTTTGTATTTTTTTTTTTTTTTTTTTTCTTGAAGAATGATAGCTAATGTAGTTTGTTATATATGTTTTTATTATTTTAGTCCTCATGATACACCATTCGAAGATGGAACTTTTAAGTTAACTATAGAATTTACCGAAGAGTACCCCAACAAACCGCCGACTGTACGATTTGTCTCGAAAATGTTTCACCCCAACGTCTACGCCGATGGCGGGATTTGTTTAGATATTTTACAAAATAGATGGAGTCCAACGTACGACGTTTCTGCGATATTAACATCTATACAGGTGAGGATTTGTTTGTATTGTGATACAATCATGTTTGTTTTGCATTATTTATTTTTTACAGTCATTGTTAAGCGATCCAAACCCGAATTCACCAGCGAATTCAATGGCGGCACAATTATACAAAGAAAACCGACGGGAATACGAAAAACGAGTGAAAGCTTGTGTAGAACAAAGTTTTGTAGACTAGCTAAATCTCCGTTTGTATATTTTATCAACAAATTGATATCAGCATTATACCTTATTACGAATTTGAGCGTCAAATTATTATTATTATTATATTATTTCTATTATTTTCCCAGAATGAAGAGTCAATATTTTGTTCGATAAGTGTAATGTTTTTTATACATTGGTGTAATCAGTGTCTTTATTGTTATTTCTTTTTCAATCACGGAATCATTTAATATTTATTTTTTTGTCTAATTCTCTTTTCATCATGATTATGTAAATTTGTGGAAAAAACTTGACTATTCAGTAAAGAAAATAATATAAAAATAAGAATTTTAAAAACTCGAGAGGCACTCATGTTTATTACTTTTTAGTACTTTTGTGTGGATCAGTACAAAAAAAGTACCTAACACTTAAAAAAAAATTAAAATAAAAAAAGCTACTTATTATAACAATTCACTCTAATCTACAATTGTCTATAAATTAACACATTTTCATTTATTTTCCCCCTTTTCAAATTTATGCCTCTCAATCACATTAATTAGACGATTGTAGGCTGTGCCTACTTAATTATTATTTTTCTAATTATATTATTATCATTAGAATTCAAAGCTGTACCATTTGCTGAAAGTGTGAAAGGAGATTATACATTATTAACACTCAATTTTGTATTGGACATGAGAGAAGACACACAAAAAAGTCGTAAAATTAATAATAACAATAATAATAAACAGTTGTAAAATATGAGATACATAAGATATGAATAAAATAAATATAAAAAAAACAATGTATTAAATACTAAAAGTGATGTTTTTGTTGTTAATTTTATTTCTCAAAAGCATTGTTATCTTGCCTAAAAAAAAATAAATTTGAAACTTAGTGCGTTTTTTTCCAAAACAAGGGGGAAAATTCACTAATTAAAAAAGTGTCTTTTTTATATATATCATACACATTAATTATGCCAGGCTCAGAAGGTAACTTGATTTTATTTTTCTAAGTTTATTTCAACCTGGGAAACTCGCTGTAAATTTGCAGGTAACTTAATTATGACACTATATTATTTAAAAAAATGTTTAATACAATTTGATCATGCTAGATGATTCTTTGCCGATTCGTTAATTTTTTGTACACAAAATTATAATTACATCAATGATTCCTTTGAATTATCTCTGGAGCGTGCTTCAAGGAGAAAATTAAGGTACTCATAAAGTCAGGAGACAAATAAAAGAGAAATTTCAACATTTGCATTGTTTCAAATTAACAAGAAAATAAAGACGGTTAGTCGTTTATGTTAAGAAATAAATAAATAAAAAGTTTGGTATATAATAAAATATTAAATTTACTTCTGTCATGAATAGTGCCCTCATCGGACATCGCTGGAGTGGACAGTAACGATGACAGTTAGGTTTTTCAAGGTAGATGTTAAGATAAATAAATATTTCTGATCAAGTGTGAAAGTGGAAAATTATTTTTACGCGAGTGTTTTAAAATTGTTTGGTAGAAGATGGAATGTTTAGTACATTTTCAGATGGAAATTATTTTGGTTAAATATACTGTAAAATATACATCGACAGAGGCTCTTCTCAAAAAATACTAGTTCTTGAGAAAGCAGGTAAAAAATCTTTGTTTCCTGTTTGCAAATTTTGATTATTAAATTCACTAATTTCGTGGTCTGCTTGACCAATTAATATATTACAATTAATTAAGGTTTTTAGTTGAGATAAAAAAGTAAATGGCACGAGCGGGATTCGAACCCACGATCTTCAGCTAGAACGCCGCTGCTCAAGTGGTAGAGCAGTGGTGTATCTAGCCGAAGATCGTGGGTTCGAATCCTGCTCGTGTCATTGACTTTTTTATCTCAACTAAAAACCTTAATTAATTGTAATTTTGATTATTATTGATTTTTCATTCGGATTTTACACATTGCAAGAGATTCTTTGCAAAGAATGTGAGGATTCTTTAAAACTTTTATAATGCTTATTTTTAGTCATTTCCCTTCTGCCCTAACTAATTTACCCAGAATAAAACTGAATTATTTTGTGTTAACCAAGTACTGGCCGTTTTTATAAATTTAATTATAGTAGTTTATTAAACTTTAGTACTGATATAAAGAAGTAGTGCTGATTTTCAAAAAAGATAATAAAAATAGGTCAGACTTTCTTATTGATATCATTTTGTCATATAATTGTTTATTGAGAAGTTTTTATCTTTATGTGTTTATACCTCTCTTTTATTTACTATATTTATTGTACCATAGCCTGAAATTTATTTTTCCAAATTATTTTATATCAATTTGTTTAACCATACATGTTTAGTGGTCATAATTGACCATTATTAATTATTTGAATTAATGACTTTTATCTACGGTCTCAATTGAGTTGAAAAAGTTAGTGTCACGAGTGGGATTCGAACACAAAAAATGGCAAAAAGAGGGTAAATTCAAAAGGTTGAGAAGAGGAGTTGGTGCCACAGTGGAATGAAGTCATGATAGTTCAAGTGGCTAGAGCAGCCAAAAGTCGTGGCCTCGAATCCCGCTCATGACACTAACTTTTTCATCTTATCCAAGACTTTCGATATAAAAAAAAATTGAATTGATTTTTTTATTTATAGTTTTATTGAACTTCGGATCAAACCTGGTGATCAACTATTTTGCATGACTCTATCCTGGAATACAATTTCACTGGACTGAGACTTATTCTTAATCTATTGCCTCAAGTATCTATGTTTTTGTCAGTTCGGTATGCAGTAAAAATGTTCTGGGCCAAAAAGTATCCTTTGTTATCCCTCTAAACACAAGAAATGAAACAGAAATGCATGAGATAAATGACCCTGTTTGCTCATAAAAGCGACTGAATACATTCGTTGGAATGGATATGAAGAAATATATATTTTTTAGTACTGACAACTAAAATAATTTTAAAAGTGCTTCTTAAAAGTCAAGAAATATTAATTTAATACATGAATTTGTCACATTGTCCCGGATAAATGAAGTGAATATTGCCAAAATTTATATTAACTTTATAAAATTGTCTCTACTTAGTATATTGTTTAAAAAATTATTTTTTTGTATCCTCCATGGTTTAAAATTTCATTGATGACCCAACATTGCCAAAATTATGTCAATGCATTAATATATTTACAATTGTTTTACCCTGATGATGACCGTAAATAAGTCGAACAATTAATTAAGTTTCATCATTCAGGCATACCAAGATCAAGATTATTCGTGTAACACTATTACAATTAAAATAAATTTAAAACCATTTATTAAAAAATTAGTCAATGATTTAAGTTTTTTTTTTACTGTGATGACCATAAATAAGTCGAACAACAGTAACAATTAAACAAGTTTCTCCATCCGCCATACCAAGATCAAGATTAATTGTGTAACACTATTACAACTAAAATAAATTTGAAACCATTTATTAAAAAATTAGTCAATGATTTAAGTTTTTTTTACTGTGATGATGACTGTAAATAAGTCCAACAAAGTCAAACCAAGATGAAGATTATTCCTGCAACACTATTACAACTACAATAAATTTGAAACCATTTATTAAAAAATTAGTCAATGATTTAAGTTTTTTTTACTGTGATGACAAGTCCAACAAAGCCAAACCAAGATGAAGATTATTCCTGTAACATTATTACAACTAAAATAAATTTGAAACCATTTATTAAAAAATTAGTCAATGATTTAAGTTTTTTTATGTGTGTAGAGGTTAGTGACCGTTAATTGATAGTTATTCAGATATCGTGAGATGCGGTCGGGTGTGATGTAGGTTTCAGAAATTTTTTTTTACTGTGATGACCATAAATAAGTTGAACGACAGTAACAATTAAACAAGTTTCTCCCTCCAGCCATACCAAGATCAAGATTATTTGTGTAACACTAGTACAACTAAAATAAATTTGAAACCATTTATTAAAAAATTAATCAATGATTTGGTTTTTTTTTACTGTGATGACTAAAATAAATAAGTCCAACAAAGCCAAACCAAGATGAAGATTATTCCTGTGACACTATTACAACTAAAATAAATTTGATATCATTTATTAAAAAATGTTGAACAACATTTAAATAAGTTTCTTCATCCAGGCATACCAAGATCAAGATTGTGTAACATTATTTTAACTAAAATAAATTTGAACCCATTTATTAAAAAAATTATGTCAATGTGTAGACATATTAAGTTTGTTTTACCATATGACAGACTTGGACATATGTAAGTTTGCTTTACCCTGATGCTGACCATAAGTCGAACAACAGTAACAAGTAAGTTTCTTCATCCAGCCATACTAAGATAAAAATTATTTAACGCTATTGCAACCACAATAAATTTGAAACCATTTATTAAAAAACTATAGCAGTTTAGATGTATTTAAGATTGTTTAACATCGTTATGACCATACAACAGGGTTGTGGTTAAGTTTCTTTAATCACATTATACCAAGATCAAAAATTTGTGTAATACTATTGCAACTGAAATAGATTTTTACATTTAAAGATATTTATTTTTATTTCATACCAAGATAAAAGTTTGAATTATGTTTGAATAATGGTCAAGAGTTGTAATAAAAAAACAAAAACAGTTCAACAAAATTTATTACATTGCAAAATAATACGAAACACATAAATTATGATGTAAGAGACTAAAGTTTACAAACTTAATATATACATAATGTCCTAGGAAATAGAAGTGAATTAAATCAAAATTTACATTAAATATAATTACGATAGACAAGAAGACAAGACAGTCGTGTTATTTAGTAGTAAGATAATACTAATACTAAACCAATAGGTACATTACAATATCGAGAACACTTTTTTTTACAAACTTATAAAAAGGAACAGTCTGAAAATTCTCATTAGTTTTATGATGAAGGTTTCTCTTTTTCAGGAGCTTTTTCTTTGTTTTGTTTCACTGCTGGGGCATTGGTGTGGATTATGGGAATCTCACGGCCCATGCTTTCCTTCGTAACCTGAATACAGATAAAACAACATTGGTAAAATTTTGAAGGAAATTTTTTTTTAGAGAATAATTAACTTACCAGCTTAGGAGCTTGGAGTGTGAGAACACCATCAGAAGAAAGATTCGATTTAAGACCGTTAAGGTCTACATCCTTCGGGATCTTGTATTTCCTCGTAAACTGTCTCGATATGAAGCCGTGCTCGTCCGACCTTTCCTCGTGCTTCGCATCGACGACAATCATGTCATTCTCGACTTTTACTTTAAGCTCTTCCGGCTTGAACTGCTGCACGTCTAAGTTGACTTTAAACTCGTCCTTGTTCGAGACGATGGACGAGAGTCCGGAATCCCCTGCAGAAAGGTTCCTCCATGGTCGGACGTAGCCGCATCTCAGTGGAGTCTTAAGCAGCCTGGTAGGTCTCAGGTCATCGTCCAAAAGACCGAGACCGAAATGCTGATCGCTTAAGTCGTAAACAGGCCTGCGGTAATCATCAAGCAGCTCGTTCAACAAAACCGGCAGCAACGACATTTCTAAAACAGGAACAAACACATTTTTACAATTTGATAATAAACTTTAACTATTTTAAAATAAAATGTTTACTCACTTTTAGCTTATATTCAAGTTGTTTGTAAAGTCGAATTGTTGACTAAAAAACGTGTTCGGTTGTCCGTTACAAGAACAAATGATGGTGGGGACGAGCCGGCTGAATTTATATAGCTGAGCTGTAATCGATTGTTCAAAGGCCTAGAATGGCCTCCCCACTTCTAGACCTTTCTAGACTTTTTCACCCAGTTTTAACGATATTTCCGTTTAATTTCTCATCTTTAAATTGAATTTAAATTTAAATATACTTGAAAAAATACATTTGATGTTGTAGAAAGCCAAAAGCATGGGAATTATTTAGTTAAAATGTCTGAAATGTTACCAAATCAAAATCTGAATCCAAGCCATTTTTTGAATTGATCGTTTTCTCATTCAAAACAATAGACATTAGTTAAATATATTTATAAATAAAACAAAGGATTATAAAGTGTTAAAATAATAGGGAGGATAGATTAGAACAATTCATAAAAACGTGTCAGAACTTCACATCCGACATGATTTGAATTCAAAGTTTTTTGCCCTTTGTCAAAGTTTTTCCGTCCTAAGTACAAAGTTCACCGTCCAAAAATGCAGAAAAAAAATAACTTTAATGAATGACCTAATTTTAATAAAAAAACAAACAAATGCCGACGACAATTTTAAATTCCTTCTAAGCTTTTGACCTGAGTAACGATTTTTTTAAATACATTTCTTGGTTAATTAAAGCAATAAGTTTTATTGAAAATTAGAAATACTAATTAAAATTAATACAATTTCAGATATGAAAACAGTTAACGAATATATTTATATTTTTCTATAATATGAAAAAAAATTTTTCCTTGTTAATTATTAATTTTTTAAATAATCAATCTATACCTAATAACAAAAGAAGATAGTTTTTCTTTTTAACAATTAAAACTTTTCGTCCGTTTCCAAATTAATTTAATTTTTTCTTTTCTTAAAAAACATTATTTTTACTATTACATTTTTATAATTGTTATTTAACAATCTTTATGTTTATTTTATTACCTATACTAATTTATAATAAGATATTTTATTATACTGTATTTTGTTTACTTTTCTTATTTTTCTTTTACCTATGAAAAATCTAGGTTAAATTCTGCTTTTCAATTTTTACGAGGATTAAAATACATAGGAAAAAGTTTGAATTAATTTGGAAAAGAGGTCGAAATTCCGAAAAAAATTTTGATATTGAATAAATAATAAAAATGTCGAAAATAAAATGGAAAAAGTAGAATATTAAACGAAAGTCGAAATTAAAAGGAAAAAGTTGATTGTTAAATGGAAACGGTTTAAATTAAAGTGGAAACAGTTAAATGTTAAATGGAAAAGGTTTAAATTAAGTACAATAATAACTGAAAAAGTTTAAATTAAAATGGAAAAAGTTCCATAATAAATAGAAAAGATACAAAATTAAATAGGTCAATTATGACCGCTAAACATATAAGAGTTAATGTAATAAACAATAAAGTCGAAATTAAAATGGAAAAAGTTGAATGTTAAATTAAAGCCGAAATTAAAAGGAAAAAGTTGAATGTGAAATGGAAACGGTTTAAATTAAAGTGGAAACAGTTCAATACTAAATGAAACAGTTTAAATTAAAATGGAAAAAGTTCCATAATAAATAGAATATACGAAAAATTAAATAGGTCAATAATGACCGCTAAACATATAAGAATTAATGTAATAATAATGATAAAGTTTAAATTAAAATGGAAAAGTCGAAATAAAAATGGAAAAAGTTAAATGTTAAACGGAAAAATTGAAGTTAAAATAGAAAAGTTCAATAATAAACGGAAAAGTTTAGGAAAAAGTTGAATGTTAAATGGAAAAGTTTAAATTAAAATAGAAAATGTTGAATGTTTAAATGGAAAAGTCAAAATTAAAATGGAAAAAATTTAACCGTAATTGGAATTGGTCAAAAGGTCGAAATACAAATTAGATGAGGTACAAAAGCTATAAAAAGCTTGATTGGTCAAGCGGACCACGAAATCAGTGAATTTAAGCTATAAAAAGCTTAATTGGTCAAGCGAACCACGAAATTAGTGAATTTAAGCTATAAAAAGCTTAATTGGTCAAGCGGACCACCAAATCAGTGAATTTAAGCTATAAAAAGCTTAATTGGGCAAGCGGACCACGAAATCAGTGAATTTAAGCTATAAAAAGCTCTGCCTCACGTGGAACNGTAGGATGTCATTGCTGCCAGTTTTGTTGAACGAACTGCTGGACGATTATCGTAGGCCAGTCTGCGATTTGCGAGACCAGCATTTTGGACTCGGTCTATTCGACGATGACTTGAGACCAAGCAGGTTGTTGTCTAATCCTCTACGCTGCGGCTACATCCGCCCATGGAGGAACCTTGCTGCCGGTGATTCTGGCCTTTCGTCCATCGTCTCTGACAAGGATGGGTTCAAAGTCAACTTGGACGTGCAGCAGTTTAAGCCGGAAGAGCTTAAAGTAAAAGTCGAGACCGATATGGTTGTCATTGATGGGAAGCACGAAGAACGATCGGACGAGCACGGTTTTATCTCGAGACAGTTCACGAGGAAATACAGGATTCCCAAAGATGTTGATGTCAACGCTCTCAAATCGAATCTTTCTTCCGACGGTGTCCTTTCACTCCAAGCACCCAAGCTGGTAAGTTTCTCGTTAAAATCTAAACAATTTTAAACGTAAAAAATGAAATTAATACAACATATTATTCACGTTTTCAGATCTCCAAGGAGAATCCTTCTCGAGAAATTCCCATCACTCATTCAAATGCTCCAGCTTTGAAGCAGAAAAAGGATAAAAATGAGAAAATGGAAGAGTAATTTTAAAAGAAAAAAAATTCATTCCAATTAAAAGTCTGTTTGTAATTTTTAAGTCTGATTTAATTGCTTTCTTTTAACTATTTATTATTAGTATCCCATGTTTTTTTTTGTACCTTCAATAAAAATAAAACAATTTTTGAGAGTATCATTCTTTGTTAAATTCTTTTCTGGCATATCTTCCCAAGTCCCATACCAAAGTTAATTTTATTTCCATGTGATATTAGGTGAAGTGCGAGTTGAATTACATTTTCCTGACAAAAATAATAGGTAAGCCCTAATAAAAGCCTTAATAAATTATGTAAGGCTGATGTCATGACTAATTAAGTGTTTAATCAAGATTAAGCATGGAATGAGTGTGAGTGATGGCATTGCAGTTTTAATTGGTAAACGTAATTTAAACCGAATTAGAGATTGAGACAGTGTAAATGGGATTGAATAGTTTGAAAAACGTTTTCAGGTCATTGATGTATATGTTAAACAGAAGAGGCGATAAGTGGCCTCCGTGAGGTACACCAGAGAAGGCAAGAATTTCTTTGGATATGCAATTATGTACTTTAAAAATTGAATCCAGTTTGATGAGAAGTTGATTATGAAATGATTTAACCAGGTTATCGGACTTCCTTTTAAGTTATAAAGTACAACGTTCATAAGTTAAATTTATGCACTCAGTGAAATTTAATTTACAGCTACAATAAAGAAATAAAAAATTAAAATGGTCGGCATAATTATAAGTTGTGAAATGCTAATTATTATAGAAAAATAATAATAATGTAAACATTTATAACATTGTAAGGGAGAACAGCTTTATTTTTTAATAGAAACGAGCAAATATTTGCCTTTCACTTTTTGTCCGATTGTGGCATCAATTGCATTTACGGCGCCTCCAATTGGTGCTTGCACTATCGTTTCCATTTTCATGGCAGATCAAACCACAAGTGCATCGCCGGGCTTGCTTCCGAGCTTGATTCTTATTTCAGTTCTCCAGCTTTTTTTGTAACATCTGCAGCGGTCAACTTATTTTGTAACATAAACTGTGCGAGGTCGCCTACCACCTTTGATGATGGTCTGACCTAAAGAAGCAAGAAAATATAATACAATATTAAAAAAAAAAAAAAATAAAAAAAATACAATTGTTGAAAACAATCATTTCATCTTGAATGGGTTATATTTGCCAGGACAGACCCTCAAAATGTTTATCAATTTTGCTTACCTTCAAAATGGTCAAGGGATGAAATGATGTGTTCAAAAAACAACGAACCAAAAGATTCATTCACCTTTATTATGTCACCGAGGATATTGGCTTCAGCATAGGCCTTTTTCAACGTTTCAAACTTTTCACCTAACCAAGCGAAAACGCTTGAAACTGTAAGTTTGTGTACTGGCCGCCTGGTATTTCATTCTGGTACACATCCGCGTTACCCGACTTCATGGTTGCAGTATATTCGAAAGGGGCGTATAGCGTTCTGGCTTGTTCCCGGTATGCTGAATAACCTAAGACTAATCCCTACAACAAATATTATAATGAAGTCTTGGATACCTACAAGATCACAAATTACAGCTTCAAACCTGTGTCTAATGGGGTTCCTTGAAGCGAAGCAATTACTGCGCCCATCGAAGGCTGCGATGTGATGCCTGACAGAATCCACAGCCACATCGACTATAACAGCACCGTCTTCGGCACAAGCGAGCATTGAAGCCACGCCATCTCCGCTTGTGTCGTATGTACATGGATTGGAACATTTGGGTGTTGGTCCCTCAGAGCTGAAATTAACATTTTAGCCGCTTTTGGCTTCAAAAGCCCTGCCATATCCTAAAATTTGGTATTATAAATAAATGTTAACTAATATGCTTTTATTAAAGGATAGGCTTTTTACTTTAACGGTTAAAATGTGAGTCCCGGCATTCACAAGCTCCTTCGTCAATGTCTTGTAATATTGCAGGTCGTATTTCTTCCTAGCCGGATTTGATATGTTGCCTGCTTCAATAATGCCTCCTGCTTTTCCTACAGCATCCATCCCAAGTATCAAGTACGGTAAATAGTTGAGTGAGTCAAATATTCGTCAAACATCCATTTCAGATTTGACGACTTGTTCACAAAACCTGTCGTCGAAAATAGAAAGACAATTTTAAAATTTTCTCTTAATCATGAAAATTAAGTAGAAATAAATACTTGAAAACGACATTGTCTGGGTAGCTGGTATATCCAACTGCATTTGCTCGTAATTTTCGTATCCATAGTGATTAATCTACACCTGTTACTCTACGGCAAATGCTTTAATATTTTAATATTTCAATAATTTAATTAATCCATTTTTTAAAACTACTTTAATGTGTGACTATCTTTTCAAAAATGCATTACAGAAACGTTTTACTTATTAAAAAAACACAATGAAATTGAAAACAAAAGTGGTTTTTATAAGAAAATTAAATTTTGATTTATAATTATTTTTGGATGGTGAAAGAATTAATGTTTATTTTTTTATTTAATTTTTTATTGTAAAAAGTAATTTTTTTCATTTTAAACTTACAAAACAAGGAAAATTTTTACTTTATTTTAAAAAAAATTATATATATATACAGGGTGAATTGCTACTCGTGCTACAAACTTCTCCAGTAGATTCTTCACCCTAAAATGAACAAAAAAGTTCATATTGTCCATGGTCCG